AACTTCAGTTAGCTAATCACACATCTTCTGCAGAGTATTCCACCTTAGCTCACACCTCATTCGTGTATGTAACGTTCTTATATTTAGTAAACGCAGCTTCGACCTTCCCGCTACCAGTCGTAGTCAAAGTTCTCGAAAATTTTCCTAAAGTTTTATAAATTAAATTGTTTTCCCACAATGGTCTTACACACTGTCCTGCTAAACACCGTGCCGTACTAAAAAGAACTTTGTTGCAAAGCATAAAGTTCTAAATGGAAAATACTTATCACTTACGCGTCTGTTACTACTTTTGGCGATATTTCTGGGCCCCGGTTTGTAGAGGGTCTGCGCTTAAAATGTTCTATATTAAGAAGGTAAGTGTAATTTTGCGGCGCATTATTTGATCAGCAGTAAGTAGCAGTCTGGTACTACGTCGTTTCAGTTATACCTAATTATCTCAATATCCAGAAATAATTCAAGTAAGTAATAAAGTAATATCATTTCTAAAGCTACACAAGTTTATAAATAATTTAATGAGACCAGACGTTAGGTGATTTACCGATAATTATCTCCTAAGTATCACAAAATTTTCCAGAACTTCAAGATTATCTGTGGGGTAATGATTACAGATTTATCAGTTATGTAATTAAATTAACATAGATTTACAAAAACTTTCGTAGATAGTAATATATATATATATATATATATATATATATATATATATATATATATATATATATATATATATATGAGAGGAATACAAATCATTGATATCCTTCTTTATTGCATCTAGTTATAATAATTACGTTTTAATACAATTAGTTTAATATAAAAAAAATTTATATTGAATCAATAATTGAAGTTTTGTAATGAATAAGATTTTTATTTGAATGTTAGAAATAGTTCTAGATCGATTACACATTAGAAATTACAGATTAGGAATTTCATTCTTACTAAAAATGATTATATATAAAGAAACCTACTTGTAGATATAATATGAATAAGCGCATTCGAGTAATTCACTGTCAAAAACTTTCGCACACACGTGAGACCAAATACAATTTCTTGAACAATAAAAGTTCTATAATGTGAGTCTTCTTTGACGCAATTTATAAGTCAACAATTATTATAAAAAAGTAAATTATGAATTTCCTCAAGTAATTTAATAAAATTTTAGGTTTACGATTGAAGTGGTCACGGTGAGATGAAGGAATTATAACATAACTAAAATACCTTGTATTAAAATCCATGAATGTATTTGTTTTAGGATTTCTTTACATTATTGCTTCCTCTTATATTATAAGAATCAGTATAGTGTAGTAAATTACCTAATATATGATGGTATCACAGATTACAGAACAAATAAAAAATCTTTTAATAGCATGTCATAGTTTTATGTAAATAAACCTAAATCAACCAGGCATAATATACAATATTGTAGAATTCTAGAAATTATTTAAAAATTATTAATAAAGCTGGCATTATCTGAGAGCAGTGATATAAAAATTTGGAAAAATTACCTCAACAAAGTTTTATAAGAAAAAAATAAATTACATACTATAAAATATACTAAAATAAATAGATTCCGTTCTATACATACAGGTTTACTTGCGTAAGTACTATGTAAATGAGTTTGTAACAACAATGGTCGTATTATCTAAGCATTAAATGAATTTTGTTATAAAAAAACATAGGTAAATAAAAGAAGCTAACGTATGTAATAGGTTTATCGGTGTAACTAATACATTCGACTCGTAAAAACAACTAGCACTTAATGAAGAAATGAAACATTCATCAAAAATACAACTTGGTAATTTCACATATATTTTGAAATGTTTTTGTGTGTTTCCTATACGATACTCTCGTCAATTCTGATGGAATGGGATAATTTTTGCAACCAATCATATTTTGTAAAGTTTATTTCTAGAAAAAGTTTAATGCAGCTGGTATATTAATTTTTTTATTTAAGCAGTACCTGAGTTTAAATTTAATTTTTTAATTAATAATAATTTTAATTTAAATCAAATTTATTGTGATTAATTATAGAAAATATACATTTGCCAAAATAAAAAAGTAGTGTATAGCACTCAGTGATAATATACTTTTCTAATGGTAAAAGAATTTTCAAAATAGGATCACTAGTGCCGGAGCTTATCCCGAACAGACAAACTCATAAAGTTTACCTCTTTATAATTTTAGTATGTAGACAGTAGTAGTATAGATTTAAAATTAACAATTTACAATCAAAATCCTTTTTTTTTAACCAAAATTTTATAACCTCTTATTCATAAAAACTAAACCTAAAACGTCAACCTATTTTAACTCTTAGAGAGTTTTGTCATTATTGTTCGAACTGAAAAATTAGCGCAAAAGAAAAAAAAATATCAGTAAAACAGATTTATAAGAGGTTTGACATATGAATAAGGGGTTAACCTTTTTAGGCATTCGAAGTGATTTAAGATAAATCGACTGGTGCGTACGTTCGTATAATTATTAAAAAAAAAATAAAGATGTTTTACACAGAACTGATAAATAGCGTAACGATAACGGTAATCAGAACCGGTATAGCTGTTTGATTGTTGGCACTTCGACTGTGACATCCGTGCCTGATGGAGCGCACACACGATAAGACAATGATGAGTAATGCTCATTTATAATTCATTTAATTTACCCCAAGTCACTATTAAATCCGTTATCTTGAGAGTGTTTACTTGTATGTTATTTTAATATACAGATATATACTCAGGTAATAAAGACTATATTTTTCATATATATTTACTTTAATATAAAAAAAATAATATCTTATGAAAAAAAAATTGAAATATGTATAAAATTTTGATACCAAGTCAATTAAGATTAATGTACACTTTATCATTTATTGAAATGTTTATTGAAACATTATAAATAACACTCCATTTTATACATAATATGTTATACCTACTTATATTTTATATATATAATATACCTTCACGAGTGTATTTTGGAATTTATACTTTACAAAATTTCAAAATTCTAGATTCAGCGGTGAGTTGATATATGGGTTACTTAGTCAGTCACACAGATATATATATATAAAGTTATTAGTCGATTTTTACTTTTACTTTCTGGTTACATACCTAATAACCTTTAAATGACCCTAATAATAAATAACCCTTTAACGTTGCAACATATGTAAATACCTACACATTTTGCGAGTTTGTTTGCTAGGATATAAATACACGTGTTCCATTTGTGCCTTCCAAATGTTCCTAGTATAGTTAGTATACATGAGGTATATGTATATGCATATATATATAGTATGTATAAGAACATAAGATATAATCGAAGTTGCATCATATAGATACATGTATTTTATGCAACGAGAGGAGAAACAGCAGCAGTCCATTATTTTCTAGGATGGCAATAAATAGACATTTTACGATAGCATCAGCAGCTGTTCAAGTCACGAAACCGGGTTAAATGATTTCTCACTTGATGCGCTGTTGATTTTTATGCTATGGCATTAATTAAAGTCTTGTTGGTATTAGTCATATGTTTTCAATGGCGTATACATACATATTATGATTGTACGCAAACCGGAATTAGCCACGTATTGAATTTTTTTTTATAAGTATTTGGATAGTTTTTAAATCGTAAAATAATAAAATGCTTTATAATATAAGTTACCTACATAGTGTCAATTATTACAATAATATTATCATTGGGATATTTTTTAATAAAAGATAAAAGAAGGTTAACCCAGCCTGCGCTATCGGTATACGCTGGCGGGGCATCAGTGAGATCATATGAGATGAAAGCAGGTCAGTTAGCCTATCGTGTCGAATTTCACAAGAATTGACCACGATTGTTTCCAGGGAAAACCGGGTGGAGGTCGACCTGATAGGGTATATTGCTAGCAACGGGGTTGTTAGAGCCAATTACTAACAATCCCTTCCTCACGAATTGGTACATTAAACTTAGGACAATTAAAAATTGTACTACAGTTATTTCCATAATAAAACACTAACATTTAATTTCCAACTATTACTTAGATAATAAGTAATAATCTAAGTTGTGATTGGAGGAACAATAAAAGCATTGCACGTCACGTAAACTTGAAATTTGAACAAACAAAAAATAAGCTTAAAAAAAACAATAATATGTCTAAAGAACATTAAAAAGAATAATATAAAATACAATTTTTTATATTAAAAACTGCTAGCAATATAAGAAAAACTAAATTTTTTTAACTACACATACACCACAACGACAAGATCTTTACAACAATGTATGTAGATAATACCTACCTATATTTATAATTTGTTTTTGTACATCTAATTATCTAGGTAACATTCAGTCAATTTCAGTCATGTCTATTTACCAAGAATGGGGGGAAGGGATTGTTAGTAATCGAGTCTAACAGCCCTTTTGCTACCAGTATATACTATCAGGTCGATCTCTCCCCAGTTTCCAGATCTGTTAATCCTCACTAGTGACCTGCCAATGTATACCGATAATGAAGACGGGGTTATCATTCCATTTTCACTCATAAAAAATTACCCATAGTTACCTATATGATAATATTACTAAAGGATTGATAAAGGTTTGAAGGATGGGATATGGCGTAAATTTACTGGGTACAGAGGAATACCACCTGAGTCCTCAGAAATGGCAACGCATGGGGGGGTATCATGGGCGAAACAGTATACTCTGTTATGTCCATGGTACTGCTCATGTCTATAGGCGACGGTTGCCACTTTCCATCATGTGGGCCATTAGCTTGTTTGCCGTTCTAAGTTGTATAAAAAGAATTACTAAAATGATAATGTACAAACATATCATTTGCATAGATAATTTTAATCAATAATTCATAATCACTTTAGACGATTTAAATTCTCAATCATTTTACAATTTATTGAAGGAAGGATGATGATTAATTATATTTACAATCCATATACCAACTACCAATATCGCTTATGCCATAAAATTTTTATTTTAACTAGTACCTTAGCTCGCTTTTAGTGAAATATAACTGTACATACCTGGAATCGAACTTGTGACCGTCGTCGAGGGTGCCCGTGTAATGCATGGTAAGCATGTCGCCGTGCTTCGACTTTACGCTGCATCCTTCTGGAACGCTTACTACATCGACCTTAAGTTCGGTGACCTCCTGTCCTGCTAACGTGGCCCCAACTAAAGCCAATACCGCAAGCACGCAGCGTAACGTCATGTTGAAGTTACGAAAAGTTATTCAGCTATTATAGGAAATGCGTGCGATCCGTACAGCGGCTTCGGAACAACTGAACATATTCTTACAACTTGCTATTTGGATAAAGTTTGCCGTTTGCACTGCTGTACCAGCTAGTCGTTTGCTATCCTTCTCTTGGCTATTATATCCCGAGCATTAAAGTGAGATAAATATATTATCACTAGGTCCGCGTTACAGGTGTAGATGTCGCGGCGCCTCTTCGCTTCTGCCACGCGGGCGATGACGTGATCGTCTATCGCGGCGTGTTCCACTTTTACTTCAAACTTCTTAAGTTGTACAAATATTTTTTTTAAAGTTTATTCATGATTTCTTTTTATATATATTTTACAACATTTAATCTGTTATGCACAAACAACATTATGTGTGTATTATACAATAACTGCAAATAGCTAGTAAAACAGCAATTAAATTTTGCAACTTTTGATTTTTGTAATTTGTCTAATATGAACTTCTATTTTTGCTGATGGATTTAGGGAGTAAATACTAATATTATAAAATACTAAATTTATTATAATATATAATATATAATAACTAGATTTTTTTATAGAACTTAGAATAGAAAGTGGTAACCGTCGCATATATGTTATATATATACTATACTATACTATGTCGCTCATGACACCCTTCATGCGTTGCCATTCCTGAGGACTCAGATGTTATTCCTCTGTACCCTGTAAATTCACGCCATATCCCACCCTTCAAACCGAATCACAGCCATGCAAAAACAACTGCTTCACGGTAAAAACACGAATGGGACAGAGGTACTCAAAACCTGTTAGGTCCATGGTACTGCTCGTGTCTATAGGCGACGGTTACCCTTTCCATCAGGTGGGCCGTCAGCTTGTTTGGCATTCTAAGTTGCATAAAAAAAAATTAACGATAGAATGTGCACGGTGCACCATTGTTCCATGTTCACACAGACATCTGCGTGTGTAATAATTTTTTCGTCTCGTTTTTTATGATTGTATTTCCAATGTGTTAGTATATAAATACGTCATACCAAGCCTGTGATTCGTCTGGTGAAATATGTCATTATAATATTATTCTTAATCTATGGTTGCCCTTGACTTTCATCTATGTCGTAAAAGCTATTTTAACAATATTGGTATAATACCTTCCTGCAATAATAGAAAAAAAAAATTAATAGAGAATCTCGAAATAAAATCACAGATTTAACCACAAATAAGTATACCATGGCGTCTAGTCAACATGCTATCTACTTGTTTTATTTAATGTCAACGTAAGATACATGTTTCGTACAATTCACATTAAATAAATTCAATGTGATGTAGGTACTTCTTGTTTTAATTCACTTGCAAAAAAGAAACAAGTCTTTGACCTACTTCCTTTTCTGCTTTCCTTTTTGAAGTTTGTATTTTTTAAACTTTATTTATTATTTCATTTTTTAAAGTTTGTATATTTTAACCTACTTTATTAATTTTATTATTTATTGATGAGTCCTATTTTGCACGGATAAATAGACAAAAAGATAAATTAGTATTTTATATTGGCTTTGTTGGGCATTTTTTTATATTTTGGGTTATGTTATTGTAATTTTCATAAGAATCTTTAAATTTTTAAAAAAATAATATATAGCCTATGTTACTCGGTAATAATGTAGCTCTCTACATGTAATTTCACATATTTTTTTTTTAAATCGGTTGATTAGTTTTCGAATTATTCATTACAAACAACGATACAAAAAAAATAAAAAAAATAGGTAAATTCGAATAGAAATATTTTAATTATTGAAATAATAATTTACGTGAAAGGAATTGAATTATATTTATTTGTACAATACTATAATGTCCACAGATATCTAAATAAATGAGATGGATAACATTAAACTAGCAATGCGTGAATTTATTAATACGACTACTAATTCAATTCATTCGAATTATTCGAATGTAACCGAAAATCATTCGACTAACTAATATTATTTATTCACTATACTGCTTTTACTAATTGCTAAAATCATTCATTAGTTTCATGTACGAGTCGGCACGAACGTAGCCGAGTGAAGCCGAACGCTTAGATGACAAGATTTATTTTTTTGTTAACGGTCAATAGTGTTGCCTTATATTTAACCTCATCATCTTCATATCAGCCGTTAACTGCCTTCTGCTGAATATGGGCCTCTTTATTGGAGAGTTTTGGTAGCAGTTGCCACACTTGGCAGGCGTATTAGCAAACGCACTTAGGCTTTGGTAATTCTTAAAGAGGGATGCTGCTACCCATCCCTCGACCATCCATTCCCTAGTCGCCTCTTACGACACCCACAAGAAATGAAGGAGTGGTCCATTCTATGCCAAAACCACACTGTTTTGTGAAACAGTCGCAATCATGAAGGGTTTAAAAATCTTTACAAACTTAAATAAATACTATTACAAACAGATACATATAGGTATATGTTTGCAAATAACCTCCTACATGCACAAAAATGCACGAAGACTATTTATATGTAAAGGTAATTCGTGTGCATTCTTGTAAAGAATTTAATGTATTATTAGAAAACTGAAATTATTTGTTAACAAACACTATTACAGTACTCTCAAGAGTAATTACTTTCAAAGTTAAATAATTATATTGACATATATTTGTGATTCGCACATCATTAATGGTGTTTTGACTATTAATATTTCATGAGACATTTATTTTTATGATTACAATTCTATCAAATTAATTTAACTTTAAAGGACATATGATTTATTGATGAATATGTTTTATTTTCTTATATTAAATTCATTTTTATTTTACATTTCTATTGGAATATATATTACTAATAATAATATCAGCCTTTAAATGTCCATTGTTGAAAATAAACCTCCCTTGGGGGTTTTGCCAGTAGTTGCCACGTTTTGGCGATTGGCAACAGCAGTTAGACTTTGGAGATGTTTTAAGATTCATTATAAGTCAATTTAGAAGTTATCTATACCTGTTCGAAAAGTCAGAAGGCGGTTGATGATCATCGAAAATAAATGTAAATATCAATATAAAAGAATTCAATATTAATTTTGTTCATTTTATTGTTTAGATACAGAAAGCGCAACATGAGCAGCAGAAAGACAAGAATCAGTGGATGTTGAATTAGATGAACATTAATCTTTCTTTTATTCAGATTTGATTCCAAATCTGAATAAAAGAAAGATTAATGTTCTATTAAATAATAAAATAAAAAAAAAATTGTAACTGTAAACGCTCATTTATCAAAATATTTTTATTAGAATAATATTGAAATATGCTCAGTTTCGTCCCAGCATATTTCGAATTTTAAGTAGTGAATGAACCTACCACTTTTTAGCGATAGTTTTTAATATAAAAATATTTATATTTTTAAAATAATTAAATTTTTATAATGTAATATATGTATATTTATAATTGTGTAAATAAAAATATGTGTATGTAATATTTTTATAATTTGTATTTCAACTTTTGTGCTTATCTTGTTTATAATAAATTTGTAAATGAATGATAAGAGACTTCTCATCTTTTTCCGTTCCCGAACAAACTTCATATGCTTTACATTACTTATTTCGGCCACGTTTCGTTTCAGGTCCTACGGTACGGTACGAAGTTCGGGTTGGCTTTTTCATGGTAGCCCCGCTGAGCCGTTATAATTTCGTCATATCCGTCCAACTCGTGTTCGTAAGCACTTATGTCACAACTCAACCTTGTGACTTCATCATCTATCGATATGATTAAATATTGATTACATAACAAAAGTGACTATGTACCTTACACTTATTCAACAAAATTTTGGTATCAGAAACAATAAAACAAATAATAAATATGATAACATTATTTGATTTTTTATTGATATTATCAATCAAAACAAGTGAAAATGTTCGAAGAAACAATCACATAAATTATTTGAATTAATAATGTCTATTTTAGATGACAATTGTCCGTACGCTTGGAAAAGGATTAAGGATAGTAAATTTATCGAAAATAAATTTACACGTAATTGTTATAAAATTTTATGGATAATATTCATCTTGAAACCATCATCAGTTATCTATTTTTTATTTTTTATGTAAGGTACATAAACAAAAAAATTTCATCGAAATTTTTTTGTACATGTGTACATGATGTATTTAGCACTTTTTACTATGGGAACCGTAAAGGCGACTTAAGGAACTTAATAGCCGATAGATAGGCAGTAGCGTCTTTCTTAAAAAATCTCTACAAGCCTAACTGCGGTCGCCAATTGGCTGCCAAGCGTAGCAACTATTGGCAAAACTCCTTTTATGTTCAGCAGTGGACAGTCAACGGCTGATAAAATATAATAATAAAAACTACCAGTATAGTATTAGAGTGGGACGTCGTGGTCGTGGTCTAAGAGAAATCGCATAAAAATAAAAGTATTTTGCCGAGCCTTTTTTCCGTTAGGGTAGCCGGAATTTGCTCTGGGGCACTTTAAAGATGGTGGTAATATGATGCACGTATTTCCTTTTTTTTCGTTGTCAGCGAGCGCCATCAAAAACTTGGTCAGAGTCGCCGAGTAGGCGGAAAACTGTTTTAAACTGTCTCATTTCCAACACAGAACACAACATTCCCATAGGAAAAAAACAAAACTCACCGTGCGAACAACGTGGCTGGCTTAGTATATGTATCTGTATGTGTTACACATGTTTCGTTCTTGATGAAGATTCACAAACCTTTCTTTTCATGATAATTTGTGACAAAGTGTATATATGTATATATATACTCGTAATTAGGTACTCCGCCATCCAGAAAGCAATAAATTTTGTTGTTGCTAATATTTGAAAATTTCGGAATTATTTAAAATAAAAATTATCTACTTTATGATAACATTAAAAGTATTTTAAATAATATTATACAGTTGACATAATGAAATTCCATCAGGAAGTCACAACACAAACAGTGAATTATACAAATTTATTTTTTAATTGTATTCCATGTTAATACAGTTAACCTAATGCACGTTACTTATGTCAGGTAATACCTCAATAATACCGCTTACACCCCCCGTATCACCCTTCATCACTCCTCCTGCTCTCCCCCGACCCCTCATTGTGAGTG